CGTACTAGCCGCGCTGCGGCGGGCCGCCGGCCCAAGCTTAAGGCCGCTTTACAGCTGTACGGCGTGTTCGTAAAGTGGTGTGCACCACAAGACCTATAACCCGACGTTTCAAAGAATCAAAATTACTCTGTATTTACTACATCAAATAAAAAATGATTCTCCAGAAATAAATAAAGTATGCTAAGATTTCTAGGAATTCCTTTTACAAAAGGAGTATACACCCTTCGAGTTACCGATTTTGACGAAACTTTGTAGGAATGTAGTGTGGATGGAGAAGCAACAAATGCTATTCGGAGACGACACACTTCTCAAGTGTTTAGGAGAAATCGCGGTTTGAAATTTAGTACGTACCGTAAGTAGAGTTCCAAAAAGTAGTTTACCGAAGTGGCGGCGTGATGCAGTGGACAAGGCGCCGCGCTAGTACTCCGCGGGTCGCATGTTCGCGCCCTGCTGATTTTGGTTTTTCTTTTTTTTTTAAAGTTTGCTGCTTCTACTTCTTCTTTCTGTTTACACACACAAACAGTTTTGTGTGTTGTTTTGTATAGTATTATAACGGAAAATATTTAAAATATACATAAACATTCACACTTGTTTTATTTGTGTATGTGAAATAAAAGAAATAAACAATGCAAATATTATAAATGTATATACAGGGTGATTCAGAACACCTCGTTATCCTTGAAAATACATATTCTTGACTACATTCTAGAACATCTTTTTATTTGACAAAATTTTGTCTGAAGCTTACTTTTTGAGTTATTGATAAAAATAAGTGACTTATCACGAGTTGGATACAAGAGGTAGGCAGAGGCGACGCAACTCCGTGATTGACAGTGATTTATGCACAGATTAAATGATACAAATTACAAATGAATAAATAAATAAGTGAGAGAAAAAAAAAGAAACAGAGACAGATACAGATACAGAAACAGTGTGTAGCGATCAGCTGATTGCGTCAGGCACCATACGTAATTGCCCGCGTCTGACGGTGAGTTGCGCCACCCCTGTCTACCTCTTGTAACCGACTCGTGGTAAGTCACCTATTTTTATTAATAACTCAAAAAGTAAGCTTTAGACAAAAGTTTGTCACATAAAAAGTTGTTTTAGAATTTAGTCAATAATATGTATTTTCAAGGATAAAGGATTGTTCTGAATCACTCTGTATATGTGTATTTATATAAACGCCACAATATTTAGAACATAAACAATATATCTATATATATACATATATATGTGTATGATATGTCATAAATTTTCGAGAATAAAATATTGTACACGCGATCATTTGTTTAATAATTTGTTTGTTTTTTTAAATAATTTTAGAAGTAATTATAATATTGCTTTGTATTATAATATTATAATCACTTCTAAGATGTATTAAACAAATGATCGATTGTACAACATTTTATTCTCGAAAATTTGTGACATATCGTATACATTGTGACGTTTTTTTTGCGGTTGGAACGTAATTCTCGCGCCGCTTCCCCGCAAATGGAGTTTATTTCAAGGGACTCGGGTGAGCGTCCGCGAGAAGGCAACGTCGAAT